GGGGGGGCTTACGAGAGAATTTATGGTAAGTGCACTTTAGGGAAAAATTAACTCATAAAGACCAAGGCACATTTACTTTAGCACAAGGTTGGATTGTGACTGGTAGCATTTGTTACTGATTTTATCCTGTATTCTCGCCCTGCTAGAAATAAACCATTTTCAAGTAGGGTTTTATGACTTTGCTTCTCAAAAGATCACTCTGCAAGCCAGCCTTTATGTACCCAAGTTTAATATATAATTGTTCCTTTTAATATTGCAGTAAGATCTTCTCTCCTTGATGTACACAAAGCACAGAAACGATGTGGATTACTTCATATGTTAAGCTTAATTACATTGGAAATTGAAAGCTAAAGGTTCGTCTCTAACTTAGACCAAGAAATATTTTCTGCACGCCGCTGAGGTACTCGTGAGAACATGACGCTAATATAATAACAATGGTCACATGAGATTTTTAAATGGTGAGTGCGCACGATCTTCTTGATTACAAATGGAAATTAACATTTACATCATAACTAGTGATTAAATGTAACTGAGTTAACGCCGGGAAGAAGACTAACGTCGAAACTGAACATCTTTCTAGCAAACTGTGTGAGTTCTTGTTCATCAACTCACCCCTAGATGATTCGACGAGTCCAGATCAGCTACCGCGCTCTTCACCTTTTTTTCTTTCTTTGCAGAACCTTATAACCACACAAGAGGATCTTCCGTTAAAATGAATGAAAATACGATTCTTCCGTTAGAGGAGGAGATTATAAGGCATCCACACAGGCAACTGTTTTGCACGCGCGTACAACAAACACTAATTCGAAGCTTACCCGCATCTTCTTCCCGAACCCTATGCTTGTCTTTTTTCTGCTTCTTACGAGGCGTAACTTCTATGGAAGGTTAGAAGAAAGAAAAAATAGAAAGGTGTCGAAAAAATAAGCTATTTTCAAAGGCGATAATACCTGAATTTATAGAATTGTGTTAGTACTAACCATTGTCCGCCATGTTTCCACGTGCAAAAACTCTTCGTGGTGCGCATGAGAAGATTGGAACCCAGACCACTGTGCGGTCTCTTCTAACTCGGAGCTCCAGGACGCCCAAAGGAGGGAAGCTGGTTATCCACGATTACTTTAGGAGGTTGAGTTGCGCATGCAGGATATATGCACTCTTATGTAAAGTATAAGAGTCAGAGCTGATAGTAAAGATGTAAGGTTTATGAAAACTTAATAAAACCCCTACAATTGAAAGAGAAATGTTCCCGATTTTACCGAATTGAGATCAGTATCTTAAGTAACATGGGTGCGATATACTTGAAATTTATTGAAAATAGATAAATCGGCCGGTAGCTTTTTATGAACCTAACCTAGTGAATGAGTCTTTTGGATCCAACAGATATTGCATAATGATGAATGAAAACTTCACCGGACTAACTAGCAAACATGACCCATTTTAGATCAGTTATATTGATTACTTTGACGGTGTAATTTTCAAGAAATTACTAACTCTCTGGCCGCAAGTTGTTAATGAAAAAGTCGGTAATTGAACAAAATTAGGAATAGTCAAATGAAGATATCTTTAATCAGTTTAACAATCGTGTTGCCGTGTAATAATAAATGCTAAGAAAATAATTGCTCGTCGATGAGTGAGGAAAAGGGAAAATAACCTGAAAAAATATCGAATATTACAAGCTTTTGGCCGCCTCAACCAAGAGATAAAAACTGTAAATGTTTACTTGACTCAACTCAATTTTCCTGACGGTACATCTGATGTTTTATTATTTGTTTCTAACCCAGGATGTAATGTAATGTCAGTGGTAAGTTGCTTCAGCCTAAGTCGTTACTGAGTGCCGTGTATGCTAAGGAGTTCTGATTCTTTCTAAAAAATATAAAGAAATCTTTAGAAATTTCCATCTGGTTAAAAAGAACTCGTCTCCATTCCCTTGTGCTATTTAACAAACAGTAAAACGTCTCGACCCTGGAGAGGATACGGAAGGAAGCCGGCAGTTTGCCTTTCACTCTCATTAGTATAGAATACATATTAATGTCAAAGGAAAACTTAAACTCTGACAGTTGAATTAGAAGACAATTTTCTGGTCTCGTGAGGTCTCTCGATGTGCTTTTTAATCTTTTTTAGAGTCTATCCGGATAGTCTCCACAGGAAATGTTTTACATTTGAACTGTAATACTAATGTTATACCTGTCAGGATGGTTAGCAGATACTGCCCGCCTGGTCTGTTAAATATAGCTATCTGACGCTCATGAATATTCTATTCATGGTTTAGAAAATTCGCATGGAGCTGGTGGATTATCGTGGACTACGGTCTTAAAGAAGCCACGTTTTGAAAAGGATCATGCTTTTCCCTTGATCCCTCTTTAAAAAAAAAAAAAAAACTTTAAAAGCAAGAAAAGAATGGGCAAACAAGGAACGAAAAGGTACTTTAGTTGGTCGAAATTTCTTTTTCCAGAAAGGTGCAAATTTTGTCATCTTGCAAGGGAATTAACTTTTTACGTCCACTTTATCACTATCAAAGTTCTTCGCTGTATTTATAAATTATTCTTAAAACCATTGTGTATTGTATATATTTACATCAGCATGTAGCGAAAATACATTTTTATTCCTTAGAAGTTGTGTTTTTTCGCCCGGTTCCAAATTTGGTTTCAGTTTTACTAGAAAAACTGAAAATAGAGAGATACGTTTTAAACAAACAGCATGGTGGTAGGAGGTGCATGATGGGTAGGAAGTGCGTACTGAAGAAAGAAAGATCTCTGTTTGAACATGAACTTGTTGAGACACAAACAGCAAACACATCCTACTTTCGTGCCAATTTAGCATTCACTGTCGATGATTAAAGAACTAAAGTGCTAAGATTAATGTTGATTCAGGAATATACATTTAAATGACGCTGATGCAAAATCGTTTATCTCGATATAATTTAACAAATTCAGGCTGGACATGGAGCCTGCAAAGATAAAAACAGCCCTTTTAATAATAGATGAAAGTGAAAATGCAAATATTTAAAAAAGACTGATGGATTAACGCACAAATGAGGCTTTTAACACTTAACATGACATCAATGTGTTTTCTCTGTTTTTATTGATATTTTTTCTCGAACAAACGATGCACATTAACACTGGTTTGAAGAAAAATCGTAATGAAACTGATATCGAGAGCGACATGTTTCTCATTTCTCAAAAATGTACCGTGACAAGCCCAGATGAGGGATTGCAAGAATACCAGTAATATCATGGCTACCAATCGTCTTCCAGCGTTATTTAAATTCATCCTTCACATTTCAATTATATATAATCAACTTTTATGTATGCAATAAAAGTACACAAGAGATGAAAACCATGCTGCTCGTACAGCTTGGGAGAGATAGTTTTGGCTCGGGTCAGGTCAGATGCAAGCATTCGTTTGCTTCTTTACAATTCGATTACTCGTCACTTCATGAAGGTAACAAAAACCCGAGTTCCGCCTTTTTCTATAAATAGTTCAGTTCAAGTTTTTTTTTTTTTGTTTTTTTGTTTTTTTTTTTGTCGTACTTAAGCTAAAACGTTCTCCAAAAACAGTTTGTCCTCATATAGTTCATTGTTTCGAAATTTTTCAGTCGAATTGCTCATGATTGGTAAAAAACTGCCACGAAAAACTGAGCCCTTTACTGACGACTAAACTTTCACCAGCCTAATAATACACGAGCAATGAAATTATGGCACGGCGTATAGATAAGTTAAACTGCTTTGCTTCAAACTCCAGCCTGCATTCGACGGGACACAGTGGAGCACTCGACTGCTCAATATTGTACCTGTGCGTTGATCAGCCGTGTTTTTTTTGTTTGTTTCATATGTATGAAAAAAATTCAATTTGGAATGTTTTGGAAAAGAGATTGACACCTTCTAATAAGTGTCAGTGGCGACACTAAACAAAATAAAGAAATCGATTCTTGAAAGCATGCCAGGACTTCAACCCAGGAGTTTGACGAATACATTTTAATCGTGCTGAAGCAAACAGTTCGAGTAGTACTCGATCCTTTTTAAATATTTATTTCAATGCTAGTTAAAAGTTTTGTCATTTTATTTTGTCTGAAAGTGGAAGAAGGGGACAAAAACATACTGCTATTTGTTAGCCTAGAGATCTTATAATATCTAATAATTACTCTATGGTTTCAGCGGATCATCTGATGTTGTGCATTGTTGTTGGGGTGACTTTAGTAAAACTCCTATGTACTTTTATTGTCTCTGATGTAAGCGCTGCCCACTTATGTCTCTGAGGAACCCAAATGCATTTCATCTTCGTGTCGAGAACGTTCTTCACATACTCTTTGTTTTGATTACTTTTTTGGCGCCCTAAAGCTCTTTGGTTGGGAGAGGGTCAGTTCTGATCTTTCTTTTGTAAAAAAAGTTCTCGCAGAGGGCATCTATTTGACGTGGCTGGAGACCTCGTATCAACAATGAAGGTTTCACGCTGGTTTCTGGCAGCCTGTAGATTTCATTTTCCATTTTTAACGATTTTGATCTTCATTAGATTGCCCTAAGAAAGAAATAAATTTTATCGTCAACTGGATTTTTGAGAGCGAGGTAAGCTTACTTCTTAGATATTTGAAAATTGGCGCAGATTTTCCCCTGTTGTTTTTGCCAATTTATGATACAAACAAACGGTCAGCAGCGGTCCTTTTTTATCAAAGAAAAATTGTAATTTGCAATGCAAAAAATGACGCTTTTTAGTCAGTTTTCAAAGCTTAAATAATTTTTATCCTAGAGCTAAATGGGTTTTACGAACATCTAATAATATTTCGTATTAGATGTGGCATAGTATAAACTGCTACTTAATCATTATTCTAAAAAATTATATATTTTTTTCACGTCTGAAAACAGATGATAATGCAAAACAAGCACTTTACAGTTTTATTATAGAGACTAAAGGCGGGATCCGAGGACAGGCCATCAAACATAACAAAGCAAAGAACAGCTGTGTATAATTGAAAGACATTTTACAAACAATTCTCTTGAAATCCGTCCAAAACAGATTTCAATCAGGAGTGAAGAGATTTTCGAAACGCGCTTTCATGGCTGTTGGGTTGCACCTATATGGCCAGGTCAGGGTCAATAATCTGATCATTTCGCGTAGCTGTTGTTTTGTAGCCACTAAATGTCTTTCTGTTTTTCTTCTCTTCCTTCTTCTTTTATTTTAATTTTTTTTTTAATTTTTTCAGGTTTCCATTTTAGTATCGATGTGTAAAGAAAGCGATGTGTTTTGACCGTTAATGTTAGTACTTGGCTTACCGTGTGGAGTCTGTAAATGTTGCTTCGAATGTCTCTATCGCTCTTAGCAGCGTTGGTTTTCACTTCGGCTTGTGCCAGGTAAGATTCCACTGTAAGGCTAGTTTGGGATTACAAATTTTCTCCATTTCAACTACCTTCAAAGGCGAAATAATGGCGAAGATTATCATAAATTATACTACTAAAACACCTAAGTGATTAAAAAGGCATTCAGTAATTGCTCTAAAAGCAGGCGGGAGGCTAACATAGGCAGCAGCATTTAAATCAGCGCTTGAACGATTTTGCTGCAGATAGAGGAACATGATATTTTGTAAATATAAGTCTGAAGTATTGAACGGCAATGAAATTGAAGTACACTGTGTGTTTGACCAAGATTTCCACATCCATCCCTCATTTCACAGCTCTTTATTCAGCGCGGGAATAAAAAAGTGTCTACACATTGATAGTGAGAACATGATCGATGGAAAATTTCGTATCAAAAGGAAAAACAAAGTAGATCGTTAAGATTCATGTATTTTTAATGAACAGAGAAAGCTCCGTTTAGTATAAAATATAAATGCACGACGAGGTGGTTGTCAGCTCAATTTATGGTCACATGATAACACAATAATAAAGGAGATATTGATCTTTCTATAGTCGAGACGTTTTATAACATTTATATCGTCATTCTCGGGTAATTCTAGTTTACCAGAGGGGAATTTCAAGCGGCTTTTCAAGTGCGGAGGGGGAGAGACAACGAACATTATGTGGTAAATTGCGAAAAACTAAAAAAAAAGGCGCTAAAGGAAACCCATCAGTGTGCTACACTGAGACGGAGCTGGGGATGGGAGAAGGGGGTGCTATGGAAGCGAGAAATGTGTACCGAAAAATATTTGGGAGAGGGGGGAGGGGATCGTGAGATTTTGCCAGGGAACGGCTTCGTTGAAAACCTTGACATTCTATCTATATTTTCAGCTGATAGTAGTGAAATGTTTGAATTTTCAGTTTGTGGTTTTCTGTCGTTTGAAATATTTTTTTTTTTTACTAAGCTCTCTTACATACTGGAGCGGCAGGAATGCATCGCTTGTACTGCGCAGGCTCCTTGATGACAGACATTACGACAAGAGGTTCAGACCTGACTTTGAAGGTATGATGAATTCATCGCATAGCTTGAAACTCTTAAACTACCAGTTTTATTTAAAAATATGAATAAAGTAATAAATCGCAGCCCAGAGGTTTATAGTTATTATCATAAAGATCAATTCGCAGGTCTAAGAGACACCAATCACGGATGTTTTACAACAAGACGCGGTGCTATTTGATGTTTCCAAGGAATCCCGATGCTGGTGCTAACTGAAAATTGTGTACTGACCACTTTTCTGCTTTTCTAAGGCCATGCCGTGAAAGTGTTGGTGACAGTGTTTGTGACGTCATTGGGAGGACTCGATGAAAGAGAAATGGTGAGGAGAAACTTCAAGCCAAGGAAGCACTAACTGCACACGTTCATGAAAAATATTTTATATTAGCAAACAATGGTGTTTCGTAGTGTTTAATTAATCTCGCCTAAAAGATGTTTCGAAATGATTGACAAACTCTTCCCCGATGAAATAATAAATCAATCTGTATAGCGTTCTCGCATTCATATCAGAAATACAGATTACGCTTAGATTACGAGCATGGTCTTCTTCAACCCCAATGTCCACAATCCATCGTATGAGTATATCGAAGTTGGCGAAGACTTCCCCAAAGCCGCATGAATTGTGGGAAGCGAAGCGCGTCTCTCAGAATTCACGTAAAGTGCATACTGTTCTTGGTCTTAACTGACCTCATTCAAATGGACATCGCGTGATGCTACAGAACTCTTGCCATTCGTACACCCTGGGTTGGGCTTTAGAATTGTCCAAACGATTGCATAAAATCGATTAACTTTAAGAAACGTGTTAACAAGCCTAAGATTTCTGTTGTTATAAACTTGTATCTTTTCCATTTCTTTCAATGCATTACAAATTTTTGCAACTCAAATAATATCCTTGCCTATGGATTTTTAAAAAATATATGGGTAAGTCTAATATTGTTAATATGTCTGGAGGGGGGTGAGTAGGCTAACGGATCGGCGGATTCTGATAATTATTTTGCCCGGATTTCGGATTTAGAGCAAAATTTGAACGGATTTGCAGATCCTGAAATTCCAACAGTTTGCGGTTTCATCGATTTTTTAGGTTCGGATTTTGGAATTTGCTTGTGAGGAAGTTCGGATCATGGATCTGAACGATCGTCAGAAATGCGTTGTTTTCTGAGTATGTGTATTTCTTTGTCACGGACGAGACTTTCTGCATACCACGCATTAGGGAAATAGTAACGCACTGGGACGTCTGCTCTGTTTGCGCCCTTATCCATGACACTGTACCCCACCGATTGCAATTCGCTCGATGGGAAAGCCATTGCCCAGCTAACACACAACAGCTGAATGTGCGTTTTCCACCCTTTTACGAGACAAGTAGCGAACGGATTCGGATTTAACAATAATTTTTAACGGATTGACGGATTTGGTTATCAAATCGTAGCGTATGGGCGGATTTGCATACCCCTATTCACCCCCCTCTGTCTGGGATCACCTCCCCTTTGGGCTCAGACGGAACGATTCAGATGACAATTATAAGAATCTTAAAGCAAAATACGAAACAATTTAGAACAATGCATCCAGTTTGTTGCGATATTTGTTTTAGTGCCGTTGTTATGTTGTTTCATTTTTATCATTTTGTTTTCACTCCAGCAATTTGAAAGCACTTTCTTTATGAGACAAGTGTGGAAAGACTCTCGGCTTCAGTTTGAGAAGGATTATTCTAAAAGAAATCTGAGCCTGAATGGAGACATAATGCAACAGATCTGGATACCGGACACTTACGTGAACAATGAAAAGTCCAGCTCTGCACCAAAACAAGAATTTCTACTCATGCTGTATCCAGATGGAAAAATAATTTACAGTCAACGGTAACTAGTTAACAGTAACGATAGATTATCCTCATAAACTCGGTCTTTGACATAATGGTCAGTGGTCTTCTTTGAGACGGAACTATAGTGTATAGATTAACACGAATTTGTACATCGGAAGCTTTCAGGGAGTTTCAATAATGCAACCACTGCAGCTTGTCATGTCAGCCAGGGTGCGATAGGTTTGCAAAAGTGTAGCTCCACCTGATCTTCTCGATGGTGCAGGATTTTTAAGAATCTTAATAAAAGAATTAGATTATTACTCCAACAGGAAACTGCTTGTACTTAGCTGGTGAGTAGATCTTTGACACGAATGCCATCCTGACAAGCTTTTGGTTCTACCTTTTTGTACGTGCTTGATATTTTTTCACCTGATATTTCACTTATCCCTATTTAGAATGACAGTAATAGCGGCTTGCAAGATGGATCTTCGGAATTACCCCATGGATAAGCAAAACTGCAGTCTTCTCTTCGAAAGTTGTATGTTTCTTTGACTTCTGACTGTACTCTTGAATTTGGATTCAAAATTGCGACGACCAGTGGAATGTTTTAGTTACGTTGTTATTGCCACACAGTTTCTTAAGTATTCATACACCCACGAAACAATCCCATGCCATTGTTTCTCTTTGGAAGGTTATTGTCTTCCTGTGTCTGGACTGACAACCCAAAGGATCTAAGCTAATTTCAAGAGTAAAAAGTAGATATATTTCTTCTATTTATTTTCACGTAAGTGTTAATTCTCCGAAACCTCATGAAATTGTTTGGCAGATGGTATGACCATAGATGATTTATTCTTCAAGTGGGAGGTAAAGGAAGGGAGTGATGATCTTAAAACCGCCGTGGCAATAGGAGACGAACTGATCATGTCACAGTTTGCGCTCGATGGATATTCAGTCAGTGAAATAACAGCTTCTTATGTCACAGGTATGAAGAATTAACTTATGGGAGGCCACAGCTTCATTAACCTGGGGCCAGATATAACAGTTTACTAGGTCGGGTGAGATTGTGTCTCCGACGACAAACAGTGATTTTAGATTTGAACAATTCGATATCAGTTATGCAGTTTGACTGTTTGCGAGTTCCACCCGGCCGAGTTTTCAGGTGACTAAAATGCAACTAGTTCCTTGTCAAGGACAGTGTCAGTGGGTTACTCTCTACATGAACCTGGTGATACAAGATTTTAGAATGCCTCATCTCAAATAACTATTAAACAAAACGAAAAACCAAAAGCAAAACAAAATAAGAAGTGGAGGGGTCAGGCGCATTGTATACATGTACAGTTATGTTTGTACGTCGAGTATCACATGGACTGCTTTAAATCCTTATTTACAGCAATTTGTTAATTTGTTTCAGGGAGTTTTTCTATGCTGCAGCTAACGTTCTACATAAGACGAAAAAAATTCTACTACGTCGTATCAATTTATATTCCAACAATTTTGATAACCATTTTGAGTTGGGTTTCCTTTTGGATCCCACGAAACTCACCACCAGCTCGGGTTGGGCTCGGAATCACGACCGTCCTCGCCCTGACGACGTTGATCTTCGGAATTCAGTCGTCGATGCCGAAAGTGAGTTACGTCAAAGCGATTGACTGGTTTCTGTGTGTCTCCTTTCTCTATGTATTTGCTGCTTTGGTCGAATACCCGAGTTCCACGTTCGTCAAGTCCCAAGCCCAGAAACTGTCACGAAAGGGAACGAACATTCTACGGAAGGTAAAAGGTCTTAAGGACGACCCCGAAGATGTTCCGTTATCAGGGACAAGATACGGTAGCACAGACAAGGTGGGTGAATCATTAGATTATGTACTTCCTTAGTGTTGATTGACTAAGAAACCTTAGTATATCAGGAATAAAGCTGTTTTAAGAAAGGTTGTCGAAAAAAAAAAAAAAAAAAGCGCAAAAGTACACGCGACAACTCCAAAAGGTATCATGGTTACTTGTCAGGTCACGGTTCCGTAACCTCAGGGTTTCAAGGAAATCTGAAAAACCTCACTGTAAGGACGAAGCATCGCTGGTTTGCTCAATTTATTCATTTACTTGACTTGTTAAAATTCATTGATTACTGGATACCAACATTACCTTTCGAGACCGTCGCGTGCACTTATGTCCTTTTTCAGACGACCCTTCTCGAATTAGCAGTATACCAGCGGAAAAACTCTAGGACACTCAGCTGTCCATCTTCTTTTGGTTGCTGTTTTGGTCTTTTTTCCGCCTCAAAATTTTTCTTCCATTCGAGCTTGTTGGAAACGAGCTTGTTATAGACCTCAACCCGAGCAACAGGTTAACAACAAGTAAGCTACAAATAACAATGATCAGTTCTGGCAATCACATGATTTTGATTTCAATTTGAGAGAAGTAAGCACGAATTATTCACTCAAAGGCCCCAAAAATTGTACGAGCCCGTAGGGCGAACGCTGTCTGTGAGTGCTTTTTTTGTTCCAAACTGCACGAGGAAATTCGTGCGACAGCTTATCAATCTTATATAAATACATTTTCAGGTAGCAGAACCAACGATACTCTATCCCATTCCCTTGGCAGCCTGTATTAGTCACCTTTTCAATAAAATGCTAACTAACTTCAATTTTTCAGGAGGAATCCGATCTTCGTAAACTTTCTAGGAACAGAATTGGAGACACGAACAGCACCTACGACCATTCATTACTTGAAAACAATATAGATGGTGATAGTCACCAGGCCTCTCGAGGTCATCGCAAACGAATGTCATCTGAAGACGATGATTTTGTGAATAACTTTAGAGATGATATAACAGCGAATACTGTTGATAAATACGCCAGGTTTTGTTTTCCAGTCTCTTATTTATTGTTTAATCTATGTTATTGGATCGTCTTTTTGTCAACGTAATCACTTGTTGTTCGAAGGGAAAATTACAGCAAAAAAAAAAAAAAAATTTTAATGGATATGATTCATAACAACGATCGCAATATCTAATAATGATTTATTTATTCTAATTGAAAGGGAACTATAACGGCAACTCAGCATAGGCTACCCAGTTACAAGCTATCCCGTTTCTTTTTTCTGGGGCTTGATTAAATTTCCTCTCTATTCGCATAACTTCTTGGACTCAGGATGGTATTGTTGAAGAGTTGACCGACAGTTCAAAAGGTTTTTTATGGGAACCTGAAGCGCCGCTTTTCACGTATAGAAATTTTATGACACAAAAATAAATTGATTTGTACACAAAGCAGACTCGAGTGATTTATTTATCTTATCCAAGTTATTCAGATTAAGAACGTGTTGTGGGCGTGGCAAAATAATCATTAGTACTAGTGCTAACCCATACGAGAAGGCGCGAAATTTAATCCTGAAGTCGTTTACTTAAGAGGAAACTGTTGTACCTGTCTTTCCTCCTCTTGAAGAGGAAGTAACGATCAGTACGAAAAATGGGCATCTCTTTAAGCTGGAATGTCTTTTTTTACATATACTGTTACCTACATACCTACAAAGGTTAATTGACCACTCCCCATAGGGGCTCTTCAGGGCCAACACCCACCCATCCCACCCCGGGGAGGACATCCACCACACAGCGATCTCGTGCGTGGGAAATTAACGTCTTCTACCCCAAACCCTGCAAGAGACGGGGCCTACGGTTTATTCGTCCTTATCCGAGAAGACTAGAATATCTATCCATTTCTTGATTATAGAAAGGTGGCAAATTCCCCTCACTTATTTTAAGACCGTGAGCAGTGGTCCGGCCGGGGCTCGAACCCTCGACCTCCCGCACAACACAATCCGGCGCTCTAACCAATTGAGCTAACTGGGAGGCGGTTAAGAAAACTTGTTTGACTGCACACTGTGAGAGATGTCCTGTGTACGCCTGAACCTTTTAAAATTTCATGAGCTTTAATCGAACCGTTTTCCTTTATTCCATGGTATAAGGTTGCATTTCATGGCGCTGCTTCTTTAACTTTTTCATCTGAGTTGCACTAAGAAAGTGTGGATCGTTGCACAAATTTGTCGTATTTTCCACGACATTTATTTGTAAAACACTTCCTTCTGTGCATTTCCCTCAGCTATAAATCAGATCAAAACGAAAATAAAGACAATAGGTTTTAGGTACTTTCTTCTCGAGAAAGTGAGAGAACCTGATAGCTTTAATTTCGAACTTTCTCAATTTTGGTATTTCATAACATTTTTATATCAGCAGCTATTTCATTTCCTCCTTGCCTATCTCGTGTCTTTACCGTTTCGCTTCTGTGACGGGGTTTTTTCTCTGGATGATATTTTACCTCTGCCTGATGTTGATGTTAGTGATGTTTTGGTTTTTCCTTGTAGTCCAGTCTGTCGTTTAGTCAAAGGACTGTTCACTCGGACTGGTTTGGCAAGGGAATTCTTGGCATTCAAACTGTCACTCTCACATCTCGAAAGACGTTCTGAACAAGACAAAGTTAATGTAACTTCTTTTACTTCTTTTTTTGTTCCTCTTACTGTTACGTTTCTTTATTTCACAAATAAAAAAATTTGAAGTAAGGACGGCTTTGATCTAATTGGATTCTTAAAGAGATTTTGGTTCAAGGTGAGCTCGAGGTCAATAATGACGCGATTTCGAGTGCAATCAAATGTTTTGTTTGAGTACTATATTTTGTTCTGACTCATTTGCGTAAAATTTAGATTTGAAATTGGGTAAATACAAGTTAAAATGATATTTCTTACCTAAAAATTGTGGAGTTACTATAATCATGTCATTCAGCATCGGCGTGTAACTATCACCTTCAGCTTCGCTTTTTTCTGAAATAAATTGGTAAATGAAACATACAGTGGGACCATTCCATGATCACTTCTCAGTTCTAAGAGGGTGACGGTTAGGTAACAAAGCTAACCGCTTAAGTCGTAATTTAATTCTACTAAGAATCTCTGTTGTTTTGACGCATAACTATCAACTACGAGCCGCCAATCAACTCGTCAATTCGACGTCGATTTAATTGTCATAAATTTTCTTATACGGTCACAACAGCGATGACTGTATAAGCAAGTATTAGGACTTTTTAAAGCTTAAAACGATAATATGGAAACGTAGAGAATGAGTTTGGAATAATACAGGTTAGTTGTTTGTTCGTCATGGTTTTCACTGTTGTAGTCATCAGTCAGTGAACACATTACTTATTCATAAAATTTATTCATTTGAGAGAAATTTCTCGAAGTGCTTCTGGCAGTTGGTCGTAAACGTTAATGGTGACGCGTAAAAGAAAAATAACAGCATCAGAATGGGAAAAATAGATGAAGGACAAAGATTGTTGACTCAACAAATAGATTGGGTATTTAATAACAAAGCATAAGTTAGATAGGAATTATAGATAACGAAAAGAAGTTGAAGCTATAAAAACTTGGGGTGAAAAGTAAACAAAGCGATATGTAGTGACTTACTTTCTACTCTTATTAACACCAGTGATTCTCGTTCTTTTAGTATCTCTGTTGCATAACTCATGGGGTGATTGGCTAGATACTTGAGATTTCCTGATTCATCACTCAAATCTACTGTGGCTAAAAGAAAGTAATCAACTTAATATCAAGTTAGTACGGTAATTTAGGCATTCAGAAGCTACTTGATAAAAATTCTTAGGGATTTTACCATCTTTTGTGCAGTTGCAACGCCTTTTGATATCCTCTAAGAGAATGTTTGTTCGACAGTTTGGATTAAAGATAGATTCTTCGCCGTCTGCAAGAGATATAAGTCGCTTTTATTTCGTGGGCTATTGTGTTCAAAGCAAAGTAATCGATGCTAAAGGAAAACCCAGGCTAGATGCATGACTCACACAACTTACCACCATAACGGACAGTTATAAACATTTCCCCACAGCACTGAAATTTCTTTCTCAAGAACCGTGAGGTTTCAGAGCTCAACTTGCGGTTTTGCTGTTAGCGTCTCACTGATCCATCATTACTTGCCTGACGGCGACTAAATTCAACAACTTCAAATGAAAATGAAACACAATAGCGTCTCTATGAGAGACTATTGAAAACAAATCGAGCGTACAATCCAATGGAATGGCAGATGCGGTGAGACACAATAACCTGCACAAATTATAATGGATTTACACTTGGCACCCTTGTTTACAAAAGGATTTCATGCCCGCGTTGGAGCAATTCGAAAAGAAATTTGATAATCGAACGCATTTTTGCAAGAACTAAAAAGTTTTCAGTGACGAAGTTAATTTAAATTTTATTCAACATATGAGAACATCATCTCAAATGAAGGTTCCAGCTCTCTTTTATTTTATTACCCAGTGAAAAAGTTTGGCTTACCTGTTTTATCTCATTTAATTAAAATTCGAAGACTCAATCGAATGTAACTGTTATTTAAGTGTCAATAGCTTCTTCAATGAAGTAATTTTAACCAAAAAAAATTAATTTCCTGATCTTAGACTTTCATCAATTTTTCACCAAAGTAAACAGTTTTTTTAGGGAAAAAATATTCGTATTTAACTTTATACTTCGATAAGTAGATAAAGAAAAGGAGGGGTAATGTGATAGACGCATGCGCAGGTATTAGCTTATTTCGTGGAATAATAGGAGCCAGGTGATTGGTTGTAGTTAGGGTAGTACGTCCAGACTTGTAAATCAAGGCGCGAACCAAATCAGCACACTTGTTGAATTTTCCTACGGTATTTTTCCGGCTGTTATTGAGTAATCAGTGGGAAATCTAGCTCCTGAGGAAAAGTACTTGCTTGATAAAAACGGCATGTCTCGTGGAGCCTTCTTTCAGCTTTTCTGTGACTTCAGTGAATTAAACACTGTTCTTTGGGGTTATTTATGTGTCAAGTGACCGTAACTTTATCAGGTCTGTCCGGCAACAAAGACGTGGTACTCCTTACAGACGCTTCAAAACAGCACAATAGATGTTGACAAAAATATTAGATATTTATTCAATTGTTTGAAAGTTGATCGACCTGCACCAAAAAGCCACACGTTGTAGTTCATTCCAAATTTACAGAGGATTCTTTTGGGCTCTTCATATATTCTTGGTATTTATTCTTATGACTTTTATCTTAGCTTCTCTTCACTCTGTTTCGCTTACGAATGGTTCCTATGTTCCTTTCTAGTCCTTCCCCACTGCAAAACTTAATGCAGTGAAAATGGACTAAAACTAAATCTAAATCTAAAATCTTGTCGTCTACTTCTTTGTCCGCCGGTTCCAGCAATTACTCATCCAAAGTCACCTGCCGCCCTTGCCACCTTACCCTTCTTTCATCTCCCTTACTCCGTACCTCATCTACAATAACCTGCTTACTAGACTTCTCCTCCACCATTCTCCTTCCTTTTATTATCACCCACACCGCTCCCCTGGATAGTCCGTCTTCTATCCTTCCTCACTATGACTTCAACTTTGGTTGCTTCCTCTATCTTCCTCTCTTCTTCCTCCTTCTTCTGTTCTTCGTGAAGCTGTTTCCTCCACTGGTCCTCTATGACCAGCATTAAGTCGTGGTTCATACGGCTGTTGTAATCGGGTTGAGGCTCACGGGCCGCTGTAGCCAAGAGAATCTCTTGCCTAGAAAACGATACGACTGATTTCAACAAGTTCATGGCTGAGCTGTTTATCAGGATGCAATTACAAATTCACAGAACCAGGAGAATCATATAAAAGATAAAGCGACTATCATCGGTCGGCAAAATTGAGAATAATGGTTTAATCTACACACAAAAAAGTAACAACTTAGCAGCAAGTCCTCAAAATTACCACATACGCATTATACGAGCTAAGACATGTGTTACGAGCCATAACTTTAACTACACATACGACAAAACTATCGAGGGAAAAAAATATTTACATGCTAAGAAAAGAATTTTACCTTAACGAAGGACGCTTGGGGCCTCTCTTGACAACAGGCGCTGTTGGTCTTGACCGACTTGTACGTGCTCGAGACTTGGAGCGAGAGCTGGGTGGTACGACGGGTGGAAGTGAAGGAAGTAAAACGGCTGACAATCTGCTCGCAGCCCACGTAGGGAATGAGGAGTTGATGACATCGAGTGAGGGGATCTTGTTATCGAGACCTGATTCAATCTATAACGAAACGAATGGAAGATTACCACTTAACTGAAGAACTCAGAAATCGGACGGTATTCTCAGTTCTAACTTCTCTTTTTCTGAAAATGTTTTATATGCTTATTGTCATGTACATTTCATTCAAAGAACTCGCTTTAAACAGATAACTTAACCTCAAAATATAATCAATACAACTTTTCGAATGATTACCAAACAGATTTTTCCTTTTCCCTTCGACTCACCTGAGCTAATTTCCAGGCCTCCAAGACACGTACATCTCTCTCTTGGGAATGATGCCTCATGAGTTGATTCCAGGCCACTCCGCGTATTCCGTCTTTTGTTGCATCATCACTACACTGACGGCATATACGTACCAGGCCCTGCACGGCTGCAAACCTGACTCTCCAGCTCCAATCTTTATGAGCGAACTGAGGAACTGTGAAGAGACAATTAGAGCTTTGCATTGCGAAAAGACAAAAAAATATTAATGAATTAGTTCCAAAGTACCGAACCTTTGGAATAGTATACGTGGTGGCATCAATGGTCCGGACTCCATATCTAGTTCTAAGCGTAATCTCAAAACTTACCTCTTCAGCTGAGTTTGTTGCCCCAGTAATGAAGTGTTTTTATCTTCTTATTAATTATCAGGACTTGTTAAAAATTTATTTATTTTAACTATTTATTAATTTAAATTAGCCTTCATTAGAAACGAAAACTTTTATTTGCTGTGAATTCTAACTATCAATAATCATCAAAGTAAGTTCTAACCTTGATTTGCGGAAAAATTTAATTTAAGCAGATCTAGGAGTCCCAAGCCTTCATGAACCATGTCATGTCTTTTACCATATAAAGTAACTTTCCGGTTAGCCTCACTCCCAAGCAGGGCGGTTTTCTGGATGGTGGAGCTCTGACCATTTAGACAGACTGACGTCATACAGTCTGTGTAGAGATAAGCTAGTTCCCAGCGCCACCCCGTCAATCCAGGTGGACTTGAGAGTTGAGACGTGCCAGTCTTGACGCTAATTCTGTCATCTGTGAACAATGATCAAAAGACATTTGTAAAAAGCAATAAAAAACTGAAACAAGCCAGAGGTTTGATGTAAACTATACTTGCTATCATAGAGGAAAGCTGTAATTATGTACATTTCCTTTCCGAGTACCATTTAGTTTTCTTTTTTTTTGTATTGAAAACGTACAACTGTAATGCAAGTCAAGCCGTAAATTCATCTCCCTCTCGTCTGATTGTGAAGGCCCGTTTAGTTACTCACCTTCGTCTTCTAGCTGGAGAGTAACAGAGCTGTCTCGTGTAGGAACACTGAACAGACTCTCTTTAGTTACTGATCTCTCCATCCGTACCGCAGGGACTCCAGCCCCAGGATCCGAAAACTCTGTTTGTCTGACATTAAATCGCACCGCTATGCCACCGTGTGCTCTTGTGGATCCATGAGTTTCCTTTTCCTGAATGTTTGTTTGGTTTGATTTCTTTATTTGTGATTTTAGTGGTTTTTCTATCTCTTCTTCAGATTCAGAGGAACTTTCAGCTTCAACGGCAATTGTTCTCTTTGTTTTCTTGTTGGTTTTGGACAAATTCCTCGCCGAATTGCCACGTACAAATCCAGATCTTTCATGGTGTTCACTTTCTTCGCTACTTACATCAGCAAAACTTGCCTCAGATGTGTCACTTAAGATATTGCGTGACTTGATGCTCTCCGCCACATGTTCTGACTGATTAGCTTTATCATTTTCAAGGCCGAGGTTAGCAAAGTCACGCAATCCTTTAACAAAACTTGGAGTCTTCGCAGCAGATGAGAAGCCTGAAGTTGATCGAGTTCTTTCCTGATTCAGCTTAAAACCATCGTCATGTAAGTCTGGGCTCGATAAGGACTGGTGCCCAGTTATCGTTGACATACAGTTGTTGCAAACGTGAATGTGACGCGCATGCACTTCTGATATCTCCGCTGGTTTGGTAAACATACCAGCGGCTAAAGCTTGAAAAGTGCGCAGAACAGCAATATCACGTTTAGACACTTCCGTGAGTACTTGAAAAGCGCAGCAGACATCCATCCTACAAAGATACAAGAGAGACCTTGGTAAGAGGCAAATACAACATACACATGCACATGTACACGCTAGGATAACGCTAACTGCCTCATACATTGCAACATTTATTTTAAACAACAACAAACATATGAAACATATGTATGAACTGCGGTTATGAAACGTATATGTGCACGATCCTTCGCAGTAAAGCACTATTTGAGCAATAGTGAAAATCAGACCTGAAAAAAATTTCAGGCCTGTACGGGATTCGAACCACTGACCTCTGCGATACTAGTGCAGCGCTCTACCAATTGAGCTAACAAGCCAACTGGGAGCAGGCCATCAAATTAATTCGACATAAACCCGTAGATGATAAATCAAACAACAACAAACATATGAAACATATGTATGAACTGCGGTTATGAAACGTATATGTGCACGATCCTTCGCAGTAAAGCACTATTTGAGCAATAGTGAAAATCAGACCTGAAAAAAATTTCAGGCCTGTACGGGATTCGAACCACTGACCTCTGCGATACTAGTGCAGCGCTCTACCAATTGAGCTAACAAGCCAACTGGGAGCAGGCCATCAAATTAATTCGACATAAACCCGTAGATGATAAATCAAACAACAACAAACATATGAAACATATGTATGAACTGCGGTTATGAAACGTATATGTGCACGATCCTTCGCAGTAAAGCACTATTTGAGCAATAGTGAAAATCAGACCTGAAAAAAATTTCAGGCCTGTACGGGATTCGAACCACTGACCTCTGCGATACTAGTGCAGCGCTCTACCAATTGAGCTAACAAGCCAACTGGGAGCAGGCCATCAAATTAATTCGACATAAACCCGTAGATGATAAATCAAACAACAACAAACATATGAAACATATGTATGAACTGCGGTTATGAAACGTATATGTGCACGATCCTTCGCAGTAAAGCACTATTTGAGCAATAGTGAAAATCAGACCTGAAAAAAATTTCAGGCCTGTACGGGATTCGAACCACTGACCTCTGCGATACTAGTGCAGCGCTCTACCAATTGAGCTAACAAGCCAACTGGGAGCAGGCCATCAAATTAATTCGACATAAACCCGTAGATGATAAATCAAACAACAACAAACATATGAAACATATGTATGAACTGCGGTTATGAAACGTATATGTGCACGATCCTTCGCAGTAAAGCACTATTTGAGCAATAGTGAAAATCAGACCTGAAAAAAATTTCAGGCCTGTACGGGATTCGAACCACTGACCTCTGCGATACTAGTGCAGCGCTCTACCAATTGAGCTAACAAGCCAACTGGGAGCAGGCCATCAAATTAATTCGACATAAACCCGTAGATGATAAATCAAACAACAACAAACATATGAAACATATGTATGAACTGCGGTTATGAAACGTATATGTGCACGATCCTTCGCAGTAAAGCACTATTTGAGCAATAGTGAAAATCAGACCTGAAAAAAATTTCAGGCCTGTACGGGATTCGAACCACTGACCTCTGCGATACTAGTGCAGCGCTCTACCAATTGAGCTAACAAGCCAACTGGGAGCAGGCCATCAAATTAATTCGACATAAACCCGTAGATGATAAATCAAACAACAACAAACATATGAAACATATGTATGAACTGCGGTTATGAAACGTATATGTGCACGATCCTTCGCAGTAAAGCACTATTTGAGCAATAGTGAAAATCAGACCTGAAAAAAATTTCAGGCCTGTACGGGATTCGAACCACTGACCTCTGCGATACTAGTGCAGCGCTCTACCAATTGAGCTAACAAGCCAACTGGGAGCAGGCCATCAAATTAATTCGACATAAACCCGTAGATGATAAATCAAACAACAACAAACATATGAAACATATGTATGAACTGCGGTTATGAAACGTATATGTGCACGATCCTTCGCAGTAAAGCACTATTTGAGCAATAGTGAAAATCAGACCTGAAAAAAATTTCAGGCCTGTACGGGATTCGAACCACTGACCTCTGCGATACTAGTGCAGCGCTCTACCAATTGAGCTAACAAGCCAACTGGGAGCAGGCCATCAAATTAATTCGACATAAACCCGTAGATGATAAATCAAACAACAACAAACATATGAAACATATGTATGAACTGCGGTTATGAAACGTATATGTGCACGATCCTTCGCAGTAAAGCACTATTTGAGCNGACAGAGCTGAATAATGAAATGCTACGTCAGCGGGTATGCGGTCAACAACGCGGGCTCAAGTGTCCTAGGTCTAAAATTTAGCGAAATTAGCGGAAAATAATAAGGGCTGACCTTTAAAACCGAGGAACTCTGTTTTCGTCGAAGGCACTTTCCTATTTCCAAAGGTTTAAAGGAGAAAATTAATTTTTGAAAATTTTTAGGGGGTGTACCAAATTTTTGGAGGTTGTTCTGTAAAAGAAAAGCGGCAAGGAAAACGATGCCTCGAAGCAACAGAATAGGAAATCAACCATGCGAACGACTCAAAATCCGTGTTTCCGCGGCAAAACCTGGCGCATGCGTATACGTTATTCAGCTCTGTTGCAAAATCATACACAGCACAACAAATTAAACATACTTATCATAGTTGTAACTACTACACACACTCTGATGGTGGCCTGTTGAAGAAGATGACTTGGACTCTGGAATGTGCTTTCTTGTTTTTTAAAGGTGATGTTGTTTTTCAACACTCACTAATCGAGTTAATTATGGTAGAGATGTTATAAATGAATACATAAGACTTACACAGCTTTTGCCGTTTTCAAGGAAATGTGAGAAAGTTATCTAAAAGAATTGCATTTACTTGATCAAGGAGCTTCTCCTTAATAGAGCCTTTTATCATAGATGCATAGCAGAGAGAAGTCTTTCGCGGAATTTTTGGGGACTTCAAGGAAATAATCTTTGTTTACTTTCTATTCAATTTATGCATTAAACACAAACTAAACTGCAGTCCATGTCAGTCCATAGTCCAGTCCATAGTCCAGTTCATTTTCCAGTCTAGAATACTGTCCCAAGTCCAGTCCTGCTTTTCCCTCCCAGAATTGTATCAATCTATTCTGCTCCAACAAGCCATGCTATCATCAAGAAATATCTAAGAGGTAAAAAACTTTGGACTTGTACCAGATCTCCATTGCCCTGTTCTTCTTCCTCTTCCTCCAATAACAAAGTTAACCCAACTCTCCCTCCTTCAGTCGTGTTCCCTACAGGTGCTGCTGTTACCCCTTGTTTGTCCTGGTTTGTGGTCTCTGTCTTGTGTGTAGCCCCTGTGTCTGGTAAAGTCTCCACAACTAAAGATTCTGCTTGCTTAGGCTCCTCACAACCAGTGCAAATAAGCTGGCCCTGAAAAAAGCAAGAGAACTATCTTCAGAAAAAGACAACAGGTAGAGACCTAGATAACTATTTCAACAGCTCGTTATGTTTTTCTCCCCTCATCATAATGGACATCTCCCATTAAAATATTTGTCTGGAATTTGATCAACTTATATTATAAGGGTAACAATATCATGGGGCAGCTTGCTTGTTTTGGGAGTAAAATATTTCACAGACCACAGATGTTTTAAAGTTTGCAATGTCCATAACCATTTTGAGTTCACTTGCTTAGTAAACAATGAAAGTATTTGTAAGGTATGTGTGCATTTATCTTAACTACCCCCATTTATTTGCTTTTACTACTGACGTCATTTTTTCAGTAGAAATAACCTTCGTGAAGGCTAACTGTTTACACATATGACTTGTCTTAAATGAAATAAATGTAACTCCACGTGAACAGCAAATGCTAAACAATCTAATTTACCATATTTGTCTTCAATATATTTTTTGTTACTTTCCTTACTTATTGTGCATCTGATGCACACATAATTATAAGTAAGAGTATACACGGTATGTGTGTCCCTTAAATGTTACTTGTTCAACCATTTCTTTATTAATTTCCTGAAAAAAAAAAAAAAAAAACTCCCACTCACCACTTCTTGTATGTACCTGACAGCAAGCAAAACACCAGGAAATGATTTGTAAGCTGCTTCATGTTCCTCTGGAAACCCTGAATAGTCACAGTACGTGGTTCATTTAACTCTTAACTCCCAACAATGATCAAGATAGAATTTGTCCTTACAATATCAATACAATATCAGACAGGGAATAAGAATAAAGAAAAAATATCAACAATGGGATTATTAGTTGATCTACTACCAAATTCTCTGAACTAATATCATCATAATAAGAATTGTGCAACAGACAGTAAGAAGAATTATGAAACTAAATGAAATCTTGGCAGTGAAAGGGTAAGGAGATATTCATATATCTTATTAACCAAGTGCGAGGGCCGTACTGGGAGAATATTGGCCCAAGGTCTTGACAGTATGGACCGAGTGCAGTGAGGTCCGTACAAAAAAGACCGAGGGCCGATATTCTTCCAGTACGGTCCCGAGCAAGCTTGGTTAATAAGAGATTTATTATACGACTGAAGTTCAAAGGGACACAAGTGCGGTATCATTCGGGACCATTCGGGACAGTGCCCGGTCCAATACTGAGAGAATATTGACCGGCAATAGAGCATTTTGATTGGTTGATTTTAGTTATTGGCCCTCTGACTGCCTGAGTCGTGTAATAAA